GAGCGCACGACCGAATGAAACTAGAGAACAGGGTCGGGAAGGCGAGGTAACAACGCAGTAAAAAGGCCAGCCAGAGAGTTTCATGGGCAAACAGAGAGACAGAGAGAGAGAGAGAGAGAGAAATGGAGTAGGTAGATCATTCTACAGACAAATGGAACCATGACGGCCAGATGGCCACCTTTCCATTCCACCTGGCCGAGAAATCTGGCCATTGCCGCCATTCCCATTCTCTCTCTCTCTCTCTGTCTCGCGCGCGCGCGCGCAGACAGACACACACACAAGATATTCAGGCACCAACCAGGTATCGAATGACTGCAGGGAAATCATTAAAAGAACAGAAGGATCGTCACAAAAGGAATTGAACATGGGAGCACATGACGAAGTGGATAAGCAAGGACAAGGAAGAAGACGAGGATGATCCCACACAGGAGACAAGGGTTGGGAAAGAGCCTTGAAGGAGAGAGAGAGAGAGAGAGAGAGAGAGAGAGAGAGAGAGAGAGAGAGAGAGAAGCAAGGGGATAAGCAAGGACAAGGAAGGAGTAAGACGAGCAAGTATAGACAAAGGAGAAGGAAGGAGGAGGAAGACCACGGAGGAAAAAGTAGAAACCAGACTTACGGCTCCGTCTCTCGAACTTCCTCCAGCGCTCTGTCTTTCTTAGTCACTCTTTGCTTGCTGAAAACCAGATACTAACACCTCTCTCTCTCTCTCTCTCTCTCTCTCTCTCTCTCTCTCTCTCTCTCTCTCTCTCTCTCTCTCTCTCTCTCTCTCTCTCTACGTGTGTGTGTGTTCCCTCTTCTATCTCCGTGTCTATCACTCCATGCCTAGCTACCAACGATATTCCAGCGTTGCCCCGCACCTGCGAAGTCTTGTCTCTCCGAGTCCTTGAAATCCGCGCCTGTCCGCCAGTGTGGGCACAATGCTCGTCTGCAGAGTATAACCTGGCTACGTGAAAGAGAATCAAAAGTGTGGCATGCATCTGGGTCAGGGCGGGAGAGTGAACCACATAAGGAGAGGAAAGTGATCGGATCGGAGTTGGGCCTCGGACTGAACGTGGAGCAACGGCAGCATTGGCAGCATGGGAATGCCCATCAGAGGCCCTGCCAGCTCAGATTCTTGCAACAGAAGACAGTGGTGTCAACCGTTGGCCTCCGGGAACTGGTTTACAATGAGAAGAAGAGATGTTATCTTATTGCGAGAGGGAGAGAATTTTATTTATTGTTCGGGAACCACTCTTGTACGGGTGGAAAGAGCGCGACATGGGTTCGCGACAAGGGACCTCTACCTGTTGATTTGACTATAAATAAAACGAAGGTAGGGGTTAAATTCTTATTACAGGCCAAAGCTCTGCGAACGCCCCTAGGCCTACCATTCCAAAGAATGGAAAGAATCAAGGGGCCATCCGCGGTGCAGCCTGACTGGCAGGCCCAGTGGAGAGCTCTTCGACGGCTCCCATCGCAGAAGAATGGCAGTTTATTTTTAATTACTCTGGCTTCAATCTCTTCAGGTAATGCCCTCAGCCTTATGGTCACGGACCGGTCCATCACATGCAAGAGATGCGATCGGGGATGGGAGTCCAACACTCATGTGTGGACTACCTGCCCCCTGGCTCATGACATTTGGATGTGGTGGATAGAGCGTCGGAAGGATCTGGCAGAGGATAATTTCCCTTGGTTGGATGATTGGACCCTGTATGGCCTGCTACCTGCCCCGAATTTAATGTACACGGAGGGGTGGGAATATGTTGCTCTGGCTTGCAGAGTAGCAATAATGGAAGTTATATGGCAAGCCAAAAAGGCAGCAGTCTTCAAAGGTGATAGAATAGAAAAAGAGGGTGGGAGTACTCATGGCCCTCGAGAAAGAAACAAAATAGCACCAATCCCCCCAAAATAACAATTTCGCCTATACCTCTTTCGGTCAAGGCCCGAACACTAGCGGAGGTTTGTTCTGGGGTAGGAGACCTCCGTTGTGTGTGGCATCTTTTCTCACTACTGATGTGGAGCGATCCTAGGGTGCATAGGGAGGCAGGTTTTTTCGCGAAGCAATTTGAAATAAGGGCGTGACAGTTTTTTTCATGATTGATGCGGAGCGACCGTAGGGTGCATAGGCGGGCAGTTCTTTTTCACGAAGCAATTTGAGGTAAAGGCACCCATAAGGCCATTTTCCATTGGCAAAACATTTCGCCACAATTTTTCTCACATGTGTAGAGTGGTCCTCGCCCGACCCACATTGAGCTACAGAGGACCACCAGTCCTATTTTGAATGGTCGCTCTTACGCTATGGTAAGCTCATTTCCTTCAGTGGCGACAACGTCCAGACAACCGACACGTTCTCACCCACTGTCATTGACCCATTTCCAGTTTGTCTCATCATTACAGACTTTGAATCCCTTCTACTCCCACTAGTCTGCCGCGTTGCATGGCGCACTGTCACACAATACCTGCAGCAGGAACAAGACCTCAGCTAGTGGGACTTAGCCTCGGGTGTGTACATGCTGCTCCAAAAAAAAACGTAAAAGGCAGTAGTGGGTGAGGCACCCGAAATGGGAGTTAGGGCATACTCGCACTGCGACCCCAACTCCGCTAACTCGAAATATGCGGATTTGGGAGAGTCGATTTGTGGTTTTAGGCACGCTAATGGTCACACTCCTTTACCTTTACTAATAGGACAAGATCACGACCTTCTTGAGAAATGGAGATATGGGGCTCCGCCGATCGCATATGCTAGTCGTGAATCCTGTTAACCTTTTAACTTTTTGTTTTCCTCTTGTGTTACTCACATCCGCACACTGTCGAGCGCATCGGTCCCGCGCGGGGACCCTCCTGACCACGTCACACTGAATTTTGCAGGACTTGTCGCGGAGAGCATTGCGGCTCAAGCCGAGTGCGTCAGCCACACTTCTCGTCGACCCCTACGACAGGATAGGGTCACGCGAGGTACGACTTACCTCCACCCGTGGGAGTTTTATCAATCCCTCTTTAAAGCTCGCCATGTGCTGAAGCGATATGAGTTAGTTTGATTTATGTATATTTTCTATTTTATGACTTAGACTTATATGAATTGGGATATCACTTCCCCAAAGGAAGGTGCTGCCAAAATTTATACATGATATAAGGAGTCTATGATATTAATATTTTTTCAGGCTTTACACAGTAGAATAGTATAACTTAGTTTTGATTTAGTATAAATTTGACACTCTACCTTCTCTAAAGGAGATGTTGTCCATATTTTTATTAATTCGAGGCGTTAGACATAATATTTTATGCATCGTTATAAGCTTGAAAATATTATACGGGAATCGTTGTTGAAAATTTTTTAAATTTATAGGAATTATAATATTTTAATACATTTAAAATATTCACAATCTACCCCCGTCTATGAGAGATGTTGGCGAAATTCTTGATATTTTTAGGTAAGTGTCGTAGATGAACTAAGAAGGGAGGATTATTCCTTACTCACTCAAGCATAGCTTGAACACTGACTTGTGCTATGTTGAAGGTCATCTTGTTTATTCAGGTTTATTCAAGATTGATAAATTTTAGTCCGATCTCACAACTTGAAGGATCATCTTGTGTTAATTTTTTATAACATGTCGGTTTACGATTCAACTTTAGCTCGTTATTGCGACTTAAACTAAGGTTTTAGCCCATGTGGGTCGAATTGTTTTTTGGGGTTTTTACCCGGACTTTTATTAGGTGGTCATTCAAAAAGGACTGAGTTTTTTTTTTATAAATATTGGACAAAGATTGGGGCTTGTATAAATAAGGCAAAGAGTGTGAGTGCAAAAAGTCGTTGAAGTTGACCCCATGTAGTGTGTGGTTTGTCGATGTTGAATCTTTGCATGATATGCAAGTATGTTTTGGGACTTGGAGTCATGATTTGACCTCGTATGTGATCATTTCTATATTTTGAAGGATGTCACACTGTGATTGTGAGAGTGGTCGTCTTTTGTCGAATAACCTGTTGTATTTATATTTTGGGTATCCGCACAGTCTAGATTGACAGTGAGCAAAGATGAAGTGGTTTTGGAGTGAGAGAAAAAAAAGGTCCTCTTTATTTTGTTTTTTAATTTTTTTATGGTTGGACGTTAATGTCCGTGGCGACTATCAAAGTAAAACCCCTCGACTTGTCCAAATGCCTCCGAAGATGGAGCCCCGTTCCTTGAATCAGAGGCGTTTGACCGCCACAAAGGGTTGAAGCTTGCCTACCACCCCTCTCAGCAGTTTGCAAAAGAGGGTAGGTATTGGAATCTCGTTCGCGATTGTCTTGCGTCAATAAATTAACCTCTCAAGACGCGTGTCAACCAACAGTTCAGTATCGAAAGTGATCGAGTGACTATGGGTACCACATAGTACGCCATCATTGCGACTGCTTGCGTAGTATTCATGCATGACTAGTCGATATGGTATAGTATATGTCGCTGTGGTATTTATGTAGATTCTCACGCGCGAGTCCCACATATTTTGCTGTCAAAAAGTGATGGGTCGAAAGTAGATAAGGGACTAGGGACGATTTACATATGAAGCTTAATTTTTATTTTTGTAAAGTGTATCGCGTGGTTAAATTGATCATCTTAGTCGACCTACACAGGATTGCGTCCGGGAGATCCGCGCCTCAGGCGACGATTTGTGCACCGGTCTGATTCGGATATTAACCGCACGTTCCCCTTATGCTACAGCGAACGAGAAACACCCCCGGTCGGGCCAGCTTTGCAGTTGCATACGAAAAGCTTTCGCATGTGGTTCGGTAGTTTGACGAGGATTCATAAACAAAGCAAAGTCCATACTAAACTACATATTAGTCCATACCACAATGTGTAAGTACTATCATAAATCTCAAAGTCATTTTTCTCATAAGTAGTTAATTAACTCTCAGTTAGGTAACCCCCAATACTCTATCTTACATATGGCATAAAAAAGTTAAGCCAAACCGAAGCCACATTGCTTAATCTTTGTTTTTGTATACGCAAACAGAACGTACACCTACTTCTCTCTTCATTATGCAGTTAACTATATTAAAACAAAATCACATTGTCTAGCCATGTTAGATGTTTAATATCCAAGTTATAATAATTATCGGATCCTTCAATCTTCTGAAGACTAAGATCGAGCAAAACCGAAGTTACATTGCTCAGTATGTCTTTGAATATACTCATTATATTTCTATTTAAGTGTTTTGTTCCCCTTTGTGATAGGTTATAATTAGACCAAACCGAAACCACATTATCTGACAAAGTTTGTTCAATAGTAAAAGTATAATGTATTTATATAGAAAATCATATCCTTAATTCTTTATTATGTGCATGACATAAGGCAAAAAAGTCAAACCGAAGCCACATTGCTTAGTCATCAGTAAAAACCTCCCTCATAAAAAAAAAAAAAAAATTGTTGGGTCTAACCGAGACCACATTACCCAACATTTTAAACCCATTCAATAGACAAGTGACTAAAGAAACAATAATCATACTTGATCGAACCCACATTGTCTAGTTCAGGAAATAAATAGAACAATAATGCGTAGCATATAAACCAAGTCGAAGCCATATTGCCTAGTTGCAAGAGAAACAAGTTACGGAGATACGATAATCGGACTTGACAATCACATTGTCAAGTTACGGAGGTACGACAATCACATTGTCTGACTGTCAAAAAGACAAAACAATACAACAGTTAGGTCTAACCAAAGTCATATTGCTTGGTCGCAAAAAAAACAAATCAACAAATTACAGCATCCAAACCTGACCAAAGCCACATTCTCTGGTTGCAGAGTAAATAGAATAAAACAAAGCGGTCAGGTCAAACTGAAGTCCCTACAACAAGGATCCATCGTTATCACATTGCCCTAGCTAGTCCACCAATATGCCTTATCGAGGTTGTAACCGTTGTCGATCGCATCAGCTTTCGCCTTTTTGCAAAGAGTGGGAGTCCTTCCGACCACGTCATGCAGGAGTAAACAAAACAAAACAAGAGACAACTTGGGGACGATGTATAATTAACACTGCAAACCGCCTAAACAGTCGTGGTCGCATCGTTCCTTCGCCTTTCTAGCCGGGTGTGCCAGTTGTACATTTCGCGGTCCTCTACTACATGATAGGTTTCCACGGGCACAACTTACATTCCGTAAGGGGTTGTCACCACCCTAAGAGATGTATCCCTACCGAGTTACTGACCCACATGCGAAAGTTTTCAAATGCAATTGCAGAGGTATGTCAGCCGAAAGTGTTTGCTTTGTAATATATATACG